CAATTTTTTTTTTTTTTTTTTTTTTTTTTTGGAGGTTATTAAATTTTAATGAATGCTTTTTTTTAAATCTAGACTCTTACTTTGATCACCAAGTCTTGTTCTTTTTATTTATTTTCTACTTTTTTATTTATACGTTAATTGAATTATGCTTGTCAGAGTTGCAGAGTAATTTGAAATTTGAGATTTATATAATTATTCATATGTCTCATCATCTCTATATTTCTTTTTTTATTATTATTATTTCTTTTTGTAAATAATCTTTCGTAATAAAAATCATTAACAGGTGTTAATCTTCAAAATTAAATAATTTGAAGTCAATGGGCTTATATTAAAAAAACAATATACTTATTTTCAAATTATAATTTATTTTTAAATAATTATAAAAAAAAATTAATAGACTTTTTTTTATATATAATTTATCTTTATATTAAAATCATCATCTCTACATTTCAAATTATAAGTTTTTTTTTTTTCAATTTCTTTTGAATTAAATAATTTAATTTTGTATTTTAAGGAAGGGAAAAGGGGAACAAAATTATTAAAATTAGAACCCAAGCCCTTTTTTTCTTCCCATGATAATGGAACGATGGACCTGCATGAACACGGAAAATAATAGTGACATGCCAATGAAATTACCATTGTACCCTTCTAAAGACCTCTGCCTTACTTTCCAAAATTTTTCATCTCAATAACCATTTGTTCTAAAGAAGTAATATGAGAAGGACAAAAGAAAAGACGTTAAAAATTTCGATTCATTCATCCCGAACACGTCTTCAACGGTTAAATTTGAATCATGTTTTTAAAAAGAAAGCAGATCAAATTATATAAGAACATTATTACAATTTAATCAAACTTTGAGTAATTGCAAAGATTAAAACAGAGTCAAATTCATATAGAATCGGATTGACCGAATTCCCACATGATTATTGGGAAAAACTCAGAGCCTATAAGAAAAGTAATGGGAATAAGAAAGGAGGAGAAGTAATATTGGGATGTGGACAAAGGGAGATGTCGGTGGTGGGAGCCAATGCGTGTACTCTTCGAGAGCGACCAGTGTGGTTAATGGTTATGGCCCCTACTGCTCTACAGAGGACCCCAAACCCACCATTTGTGCGACAGCGATGCCACTCTCTTCCTCCTTCCAGCCTCTTTTTTCATAATGTATTGTAATGATCAAGATTGGAGGCTTGTGGTGACCAAGTAAAAAATGACAAATTTAAAGTGGTTCATTTAAAGTTACCTAGTTTTATACTTAAGATGACTAGGAGTCTGTTTTGAAACAGGACTTTGAAAATTATTCCTCACAAACTCAAAATATGGCATATTGGACTTAGGCCTTGTAGAACCTATCTTTGGACGGTTAAAACTCACATTTGTCCTATCAGTCGTGTTGAGAATTGTTGGGAGGCAGTTCTACATTGGCTAATTAAGGAAATGATCATGGGTTTATAAGTAAGGAATACATCTCTATTGATACGAGGCTTTTCGGGAAAACCAAAAGTAAAACCATAAGAGTTTATACTTAAAGTGGAGTGGAGATTTGTGATTCCTAACAAGTTGGATATTCAACCTTATTACCATTACAGGCAAGAACGGGCAAAACATTCTTTTTCCACATCATGGGTGAAATTCCAGTTGAAAAAATCAAATCCCAAGATGTTTTTTTTTTCTTTTCCCCTTCACAACTTTTCTAGAGGAACTGAGAAATTACTGGAACTATTTGAATAGAGAAGCCTTTTGTGAAGTCAGATGGAGGGAGCAGTAAAATTTAGTTGCAAGTGCGAGTGTTTTTTTCTTTTTTTCCTCTCTTAAAAAATAAAGGCAACCTAAGTTGATGGTGTTATGTGGATTTGTGCCTCAGTGAGCGAGTGTTTGTGGTGGTGGTCCGGGATTTGGGTGCTGCTGCAAACTAACACCTAAAGGAAGAAAAGGAAAATAAAGAAAAAAAAAAAAGAAGAAGAAGAAAATGTCAACGGGGATGAAAATGATACCAACAAAGAGCTCTGGAAGATTGAATTGCAATTCTGTGGTGAGTCTTTCTTTTGTTACTGTTGTTGCTAAGAGGGGCTTTATCAATTTCTGTGCATATTCCCCACAACACAACCTTTAGTAGCCAGCTTAACCTGCAATAACATCCCAATTATTGACTAAAACCTTGTCCTTCTCTGCTTTTCTAGTCTACTGTTATCAGATAATCATATCAATCATTGATGCAACATATTCTTCAGCATGCCTGAAAAGAAATCAGATACTTTACTGTCAAACAAAAAAGGGGAAGATTTTTTATATGGATACATTCTCATGTTCTATGACTAGACTTTCCTAATATTTGATCGGAATATGAGTGTAATTATAGGATAGAAATGTGAACATTCAACCAACCAATGTGTATATATTTTACTTCATGTTGAAGCAGAAGAAAAGATAGCACAGGAATTTACCAGAGGTTCAATCAGCTTAGTATGTGTATATATTTTATATTCTCCCAAGCTGATGAGAGTAAAAAGCCATGGTGATAATGCAAAGTGGTGCATCTACCTTTATGTGATTCCTGCAGCCACGTAAAAATGCCAGTCAGCTTACTTTGGATAAAAGGGTTTTGGAATATCTTTTTTTATAAAAAAAAAAAACCACACACGCAGTTTAAAAAATGGCAAAGCTGATCAACTTAACCAAAGAAAAGGTTAGGATATTCACAAAGAAAGAAAGAGAGAGAGCAGGGAGAGACAAAAACACACACAGAGAGAGAGAGAGAGAGAGAGAGAGAGAACCTGGGGATTAATGAAAGGAGGGTTGGGCATTATGGTATATCCTAGCTTTTAGAAAGTATGTGCATGAGTAACAGGATTAAGGTACAATATGCCATTTGCCTGGTAAAAAAGACTGCATCTTTTTTTTTCTTTTTTTTTTTTTTATCTCCCTTTGAGCTGCACAAACAGACAAAAATCAAAAGGCTTCTATTCCCTCTCCCCTTGCCTCTTCTTCTATTAAATTACCTGCCCATGTCATCATCCATCAGGGAATCTCATCTCAGCTACCTTTTCTTTTCCCTCTTTTCTTCCTTCCAATCTCGATTATTTACAGACCCTTCTTTCCAATGCTTTTCTTTCCTTTTTTTCCCCCCTTCTACTGCAGACCCCTATGCTACCCCTCATCTTTTTTTCTAAATCCCATCTTGGAACTCCCCACTCTACAAGAAACGAATATTCATTACTAATTACATTCCCTATCTATATCCCTCCACAATGTTCTTTTTCGTTCTAACTAGGCCTATCAGAATGGTTTTCCTACCCTTGTTGTCATCTTAGCAAGTTCAGTTCACATACAGCCAGAAGAATAATGACATATCATAGGGGGGAAAGGGTCAAAATAGGAGAGTAATTGAAAATGGGGTCATTGCCTGTGCATTCTAATGTACTTGTCAGTCTCATCTGTAGATAAACAGAAGCTGCTAGGTAATCCAATCATCAACTCAAGTACCAGGAAAGAGCATTTAGGTTCACTTGCTGCTTACATCATTTCTCCTGAACTACGATATTTTAGCTCATTAACCTTATTCACTACAGGAATTTGATTTCATTGGCTAGAAGAAATGAGGTAAAAGTAAAGGTCCATTCGCTGCTGGTTTACTTCGGCAGTTTTTATGTAAACACTTGATGATAAATGGAGATACTGGGAGTATAAAGTTGAAACTTAAATCACGTTGATTTTAAGCCACTCTCTACTTTGTTCTCTATACAAAATAAAATGGGTCTGAAATAAATTACAAAGCAATGCCTAAAATAGGTAATGATTTTTATTCTATATAGCTATGGATAACTTATACGTAAAAGTACCAATCGAGGAAAAGCTTAGAAAATGGATAGCATCGATATGCTCCAGAATCTGCAGGACCAATTTCTTTAAAGGACTTCCCCTTCAAGATCCCGGATTTGGCCCATTTAAGTTTACTCCCAAGTATTTATCCAGCACACTCTTGAACGCCTGACGCAAAAATTAAAGTTAAATTACAATAACACAACAAGTAAAGTCTCAAAGCGTTGCAGCAGAATATTCTCTGGTCATGCTTATTTATTAGGGAGGGAATAAAAAGAAGTCCTAATGAATATGCAGGTTGGCTAGTTGTGTCTATTCTTTGGTGACGACAATAATGATGTTTTTAAAATAAATAAATGCGGAATGGAAATAAATATGCTTCCCTTCAAAACACAGAAACTGAAATGGCGTATTAAATTAAAAAATATATATAGACACAAATAGAAAACTGCGGGCAGAGAGCATGCGCATTCGTTAAGATTCAAAATTATCAATAGATACCAAATTCACGGAAGGGAACAGATATTTAAGATATTTAAGGCTGTGAGAAGAAAGAACTCAGTTTAGGCACTTAATCAAACTGAAGTTTTAAAAATTAAATAAATTGCTTCTAGTCTTGAAACAGAAAAGTTAACAACCAAAAAAAAGAAAAGATTTGCAGTTCCTTGAAGCCAAACACAATAATTCATTAGGATCTTTGCAAGATCAACTTATGTAACAGTACCTAAATCAAATTTATCGCCGAAGTTTGGCGGTTTTGGTTGAGCAAATATGCTGCCCATTCTTCAAGGTTGCGTGAAAGCTACATAGAAGTGTCTAACTAATAAGCCAAATAAGATATTTCACAAGAACAAAAGATGAGCACAAAAATGCAGAATGCTGTTTGCAATTTGAGGCCAGCCAAATTTATGGAGGACGAGATAAAGATGTGAGAAGAGCTTTTGTTACTAGCCCACAAAGATTGCCTTCGAGACCAATAACTATTACCATCTACTTGTGTGCTCAGTATTTTGTTCCGGGAAAAGAGAAAAAAACATAGAAGAAAAATCCTACCTATGATTAAAAACAAATTACACAGAGCTATTACTACGATAAACAGGGGAGATATCATGGTTGAAGTAAAATAAATAATAAATAATAAAAATGTTACTGTTAAATAGAGTTACCATGACCTGACGAGCAAAAGACTCTTTCCTGTATAGAATTGCATCCGTCGCAGCAAATTGATCATCAAATGAACTATAGAAAACCCCGTAGAGTCTTTTCCAGGGATGAAGAGATATCAGCCAAAAGTAAAACATCTCCCACAGAATCCATAATAATAGGATTTTTTTTTTTTTTTTTTTTTTTTTTTTTTTTTTTTTT